AAAATACAAAAGAAAAAATAAAGATCAAAACCTACAGAAATAAATTTTTCAGTTTGGTTTTTTATATGTCGATTCGGTATCAACTTTTAATTTAAAATTTTAGTTATCTCGGGACGATTTCCACTTTATTTTTTAAAATAACCGAAACAACCAAACTATATATAAAGTATTATATTTTTACATTTTTCTTATATATATATATATGTATTATTTATTTTCAGTCAAAAATAATATAATATCTTAAATAAAAATATTTAAATACTCAAAATTCTTTTATAATATAAATAATAATATTTTTGGGTTATTTTGGTTAAATCATTTAGCGACTGAATAAACCAATTATTTCTGACCAGTTTGAGTTTGGTTTAGGATAACAGTTTAGTCAGGTTGTTTTTGTTTTTTTTTTTAAAAAGTTTGCACGTTTATTTCGCTTTTGACGTTTCGATCAATCGGTCCGATTGAATCGACCGATAAGAAATACTATGAATTATATACGGTCGAGGTTGACGCCAAAAACCCTAGAGGCTCAAATGTAGCTGAGTGGCTGAAAGAAGGTCAAATCAAGCTGAACTGGCCCGGAACTACCGTGGGTAGTTCGGAGCCGGCCCATACCGAAATTCGGGCAGAGCGCCCGTTCTGGTTCCTCCAAACCTCCGCCCAGAACCGATCCAGAACCGGGGTTTTGGCCATGTGTAGCTGGGCGGAGTAAATGTTTAATTTTTTCCATGTCACATAACCAAAGTAGTATATTAAAAAATATTTGAATACAAAAACAAAAAAAAAAAAAAAAATTAATATAAGTGAAAAATAAAACAAGAAATTAGCCCCTCCCACTTAACACATCGAGATGGATATTTGAAAGCAAGATTGGTGCAACCACCACATCTTTTTCCAACCCATTACTACTATTCTTGTGCCTGCCGTTGCGCAGTTTAACAGTTGCATATATACTTGCAAATGCCACAACAAACTCTACCCCAAATCTTGCAACACCAACCACAACACCCAACCCATTCTTGTGCTTCCCTTTGATCTCATCAATTTTCCTTTGGAAATTAACAAAAGTGGTCATCACCTCTTCAAGAACCTCCACATTTTCCCTTCTTCCCTTTATTGGGTATTCATTTGTTCTTTGTATCACAGTCTTTATGCTTTCTTCCAAATGGGATAATGCATCCTCCCTTTGCTTGTTTTGGCTTGATTGTAGCCCCTGCATTTAATCGGTAAAAGTAAATTTATAGATCAAAACTGGTGTCCGAACGACCGACGGACGACCTACAAAAGCGTAGTGGGCAGCCACATGCACGGCTCCTCACTCGCACGGCTTATTATAACTAAGCCAAGATTGTATGTAAGATAAATATATGATAATAATAATAATGAAGTGCACACCTGCAAGAAGATAAGAATGTTGTGAACATCTTTGAGTGAGTCTCTAATGGACATCATCTTCTCCTTCTCCTTCAAACTTCCTTCTGCAACCGCGCAATATCGGCCACGGTTCGAGCAGTCGCTGCAGAAACTAAAGCCGTTGATTCGATTTATATTCTCACTGATTCTAACATGCAGAGCCCGTGTTCTTCTTGCAAGGCTCTGCAGACAGACATTTTTCTTTATCTCCATGAGAAGTTAAAGCAAAAGTGTTTTTTTTTTTTTTCTTTTCTTTTCTGCACCTCATAATCATCATTTTTTTTAGTTTTATATCTGCACTAATTTGTTTGAGGTTTGTTGTCTTTTTGGGTTTTGCAGTCTCAGCCATTTACTTATTTCTCAAGGAATTTGATTCCCATAATATTAATTGGTTTCTTTTATTTTTTTCTCTTTTGGAGTCATATGCTTTTTTCTCTTTCTTTTTATATATGGTTTACATTAATTTTGATGTTGTTTGCTCACTTTTATTTATTTAATTTTAGCCTTTTGATTGTGTACCATAAATAATGGTACAAGTACTTGGCTGTTTTATGCCCTACATATATGGGTGGTTAATATTGCCCCAGTTAGAGACATGGACAACATTTGTCGTACAATTATGTTTGATAAAACTAGTTGATAGTCGATTTTAGAGTTTATGAATCTAGCTTATATAATAAAAGTGTTTGGTAAAATTAGCTGATAAGCTAACTGAAATAAAAGTTTCAACGAGCTTACTTATGAGATGAGCTTGAGCTTTTTAAAAACGCTCGTCCTACCGAACGAAATTTATTTCAATACAGGAAACTTATAAGCTAACTAAAATAAGCTATAAGCTAACTATTTGTCTACCAAACACATCCTATAGCTGGGCAGGAAATTTATGACTTGGAATTGGGGAAAAGATAAAACAAAAAAAAAAATCCTAATTTTTTAAAAAATGGGCAAGAGATTTCTGAAAATTCATTACAAGTTGATGATTTTATAGGATGTTTTCTCATCAGTTGCAAATGGGCCCAAACTCATGAACTTGAGGTTGGCCCAATCAAGCTTCCTCATGCTAGCTACTTGATTTGAAAGAAAGGCCATATTGGCCCAGTTTAAATTATTATTATTTTTTTTTTT